GCATGCACTGATTACAGTGTGTAAGGAGCATGCACTGAGTACAGTGTGTAAGGAGCATGCACTGAGTACAGTGTGTAAGGAGCATGCACTGAGTACAGTGTGTAAGGAGCATGCACTGATTACAGCGCCTTGCTGCACCCACCACACAACAAAAACCTCAGGGATGAGAACCTGAGTGCAGCCATGTGGCAGGTGATACCTCAACACCACACGAGTCTGAATGGACCATTGTGAGTTTTTTCCTGGTGGCTGGAGTGTCGATCCTGCCACCAACCCCCAAGTTATTCCCTGTAAGTTGGAGGACCTCCTTATAGGGCTGGAGGTAGATTAACATCATACCCAGGACGAAGCAATTGCAGGTGAAGGACCTTGCTCAATGGCCCAATGGAACAGAATCACTCCCAGCATTCACGGGATGTGAACCAGCAACCTTCCAGTTGCTGGCACAGATCCCCAGCTTCAGAGCCACCCCTCCACCTCATTGGTAAAATGCAGATTAACACATAGTGCACATGACATGATAGGAGGGCAAAAACAGAATATATTAATGAATAGATTGTACATAATATACAAGCAGGAACTTAGCATCTCTGTTCATATGAAGAATTTCTATGCTGGAAACTGGAGTACGGAGAAATTGACTGGTTCATTACTGGTAAAGGAGTTTGAGAACGCTGCATGCTATTACTGTACCTATTCGGCTTGGAGGCAGAACATACGATGAGAGAAGCTGGACTGGAGGAGGACGATTGATTGGTGGAAGATACATCGATGACCTCTGACATGCTGATGTCACAACATTTATAGTGGAAAATGAAGACACTTATGGAGATATGGGGGCACTTTCAAAGAAAAGTAAAGAGTGAAGAAAAAACAAATGTCACGACTTATAGGTAACAGCAACAAATGTTAGTGTCTGACAGTGAAGACAAGACTGTTGTACACAATTTTTTTAACTTTGTAAGAATCACCAAGAACAAAAGGTGCAGTATTTAAGAAATGTGTTGCAGACGAGCATTTGGCAGAACTGAAATGGGGACCTAGAAAATATCTTCAAGACTATTTGTGTATCAAACTTTTTTTTGGAATGTGGTCATTTCTGTGACCCTTTATGGATGTAAAAGTTAGATAAAGAAGAAGTCGGACAGGAAGGACACTGGTGACTTTGAACTTTGGGGCTGGTGAACACTTTTAAGAATACCATGGCCTGTCAGGAAAACAAACAGGTGGATTCTTCATCATTTTAGAAATGATGTTTAAATTACAAGACTGAGTCATATTTTGACCATATTATGAGAACACCCAGTGCATTGGAGAAGGGCATGATGGTTAGAAAATTTGAAAGCAAAAGAGAAAGAGGGCAGTTTGCAAAAAGATGGATGGACTGAGTCATCACTACAAAAAACATACCGCTAGAGCAGTTTAAGATCAAGGCAGAATGAGCGCCATCGACGCGATCACCTGGGACTGACACCGGTGTTTATGTCATGGGGATTTTTACATTTACTTGACACTTTCATCCGTAAAAGCATTGCAATTTACATGCATTTTGTACAAGATTAACCCACGACTGTTGCGTTGTTATTCCAGCGTCCTACTTGTCGAGCTACAGCAGTGCAATATG